GACCTCTGATTATGCATCCAAATTTGAAAAAAAAAATCGGTGGAGTAGTTTCGACGAAAATGCGCGGACGGTGAACGTACAAAAACATTTGTATTCGTTTTTCGAATTCTACTTATCCTGAAACGTAAAACCTCAAATTTTGAGAGGGGTTAATAATTTTGTTCGATCACAATGATTCATTATTAAAAATAATAAAGCAAAACGTAAAAAAAATGTCTTTAAAATAATAGAATTTACGAATAACATCTTATGTTTGAATAATGGATGAATCCATGGCAGCAGACTGTTTAAATAAAACTATATTACCCAGAATATTCTAATAATTTTTTATCAAACTAAGAAAAATCCAATTCCTGAAAAGAATTAAGCATGATTAAGTCAGAAGACAACCTCATCTGTCACAATTATAATCTTTACGGTCCATTTTTCAATTTTCATCGAAATTCCATTAAAGAGATGGAGGAAGGTGGTCTCGTCCGTAAAAGTTGAGCTTAAGCTGTTCCGTTTCAGTTAGTGAAATTATTATTCCTCCGTTTCTCAGAAGCAGTTATTGATAATGAATATTTCAGGACCCATCAAGGAATTGTCCCCACTACGCTTCGCGTTCTTGACTTATATTAACGAGATTGCCTCTCGAAAAACCAGCAATACGACGATATTTGATGGTTCGCTTTTATTATTTCTTTTTTTTTTTTTTTTTTTTTTTTCCATACCTTACAAAAAAGGATGGATGACATTTATTCATTTTTCGTATATTTTTGGAGGACTGATTTGTGCCTATTTCAATCTAAACTTGACCGGCCTTAGTACCAGTGATGCGATTGAGAGAATAGCGTAGGGATCTCCTAAAGTCCTGCTTTTCTCTCCATATTGCCGAAACAAGTCTGCCTCGGAGTTATTTATTTATTGTTACGTACCGCATCTAGCGGTCATTAGTTGTTTTAAATGGACTAAAATTAGGTGGACAAATTTAATGTCTTTTATGAATTCAAGTACATTTTGTATCTTCTCTTCGTCATCTGCAAGTGCGTCAGATATGTTGGAAGGTATATTATGTTTTGTTCTGGTGTAAGAGTGCAGTCTGCAAATTGTTACAATGTGTTTCAGTGTAAGTGATGTGTTGCATGTTTCACAAAATGGTGATTCCAGGTTTCTCATTAGGTAGCCATGGGTAAAGGCTGCATGTCCAATTCTAATTCCAGTTAAAATTATTTTCTCTGATGTGTTCCTTCTGAAAGAGGCTGTCCATGTTTGGATGTATTTTTTAATTTCCTGCAATATGTTTGTAGATTGGTTCCAGTTGAATAGCCATTTTTCATTTAGTATTTTTTTTTTTTTTTTTTTTTTTGCGTTCCAATCTCCATTCAGTAGTGATGGTTAAATTGATCATTGTGGTTCCATTTTTTTTTTCTTTTGGCGAGGTTCGCAGCATTGTCTACAGCTTCGTTTCCAGATATGACACAATGTGAGGACGATGTCTTTGTCCGGCGACTCCTTCATTTCCCAGATATCTAGAGTAGGGATCCCCTGTCTTTCTCTCCATACTTGCCCAAGCAAGTCTGCCACGGAGTTCCCTAATTTACATATCTTTAAGTAATTTAATTTGTATTTATTGTATACGCTTTTTGTTTATTATTTAGTAGTTATTTTGCTTCTGTTTATTTTATATTGTATATATATATATATATATATATATATATATATATATATATATATATATATATATATATTGTGGATGTAGTCTTACTTCACAGTATCCCTTGTCCATGTGACAAAATGTTATATTCAATAAAAAAATTTTTTAAAAATCATCTAACATCGAATTGGTCAATACTTTCACAATTATAGATTTTCCTGCTCTCAGAAGAGTTGGATTTTAAAAAATGAGGTGTCAAACAATTGGAAACTTCGTGGGATAGTGACGAAACGCAATTTCAAGACGTGAAACCTTTCTGCAACTTCAATGAAAATCGTTGACAAAACTGAAAGATTTCTACAATTTTCGAAGTTCAACGTACAACAAAACGGAATAAGATGTGTTTGAAAAATATAGACGCGGATACCAAGACCCAGTAAAGTTCCAAAGCAATTTCACTTGGCTCTGCGTTAGAAAATCCTACAATGTACCGTTTTCGAATTAATCCGTACTTTTTCACGAAAGCCTCTTGGTTGATAAACAACTAAAATAAAAATCATTGAAAACTTGGGAAGGTTAAAAAACTTCTGAATTTTATTTATTTAACACACATTGTGTTATTTTCATTGGATTTTGTTGTACTGAAAAGATGAAAATAGTGTATTTAAAGACACGTAGGCTTTTGTGAGATCGGTTATCGTAAGGAAACACAGCCTGTACGTGATCCACTTTGGGACGAAAAGAGGCAATCGCTGGACCTATCTCAGGTTCATCGATGGATAATGATCTTATCCAGTTTCTAGCCATTCCTAGTTAGTAAATTTTTTTGGGTTCGTCGCGGTGTGTAATGAGAGCGAACCAAGTTTAAAACATATCTATTTCATGGAATAAATTAGGCAATTTTATAGCCGTGGAAACTGATATTTCTGTGAATTCACGTGCGGCTTTCATATATAACATCTCTGGCATTAATTAATACTCAATCGTATGGACTACGACAAAATAAAAATTAATATCCATCCTAAAAAAAATAATACAAATAAATAGTGAAATATTAAAAAAATATAGCGACATCCATTGTCAGATCCAAACCTAATTGTCGCCTGTAATGAGCTTGTTTTTTTGTATATAATTGAGTGTGAATGTGCTCTCTGAACATTATAAGTGTCCTTGATGGTGAAAAATTTCTCAATAAATAAGTCAACAAAAAAGAAATTGTTGATGTGGAAATTGTTACAGAAGTTGTTACAGTATATAGAATTTGTTACAGCGTTTAAAAGATAGTTTGTTTTTTTAAATTAGTCTATTCATTTAATATATTATACAGTGAAATATTAATAATGGATAACGGCTTATTAATTTGTTAAGGGCTTACCACTTCAAACAAAACACTTACCACTTTAAATTTAAAAAATAATCCTATTTAACACTGATGGGTCTAAAATATAGTCATCTTTCATAAAATTCAAAGAAATTAACAAAATAATATAAATTCCTAGTTACTTATTTATAGTTACTTAATTCGTTCCAATGTACGGAGACTTGAATCAGCTTTCTTTTTTTTTTATTTTGGGGTCCTCCCCATCCTCGCCTTTGAGACTATACGGGGTTTTCCCGGGCCAGGGGGTATGGGCGGTAATTTAAAAGACTTCTCCGGCACCGGGACGCGAATTCGTGGCTATTTTAAATCAATTGTCTCAAAGATCGGGTTGCCGGGCAACTGCGGTGCTGTGCACACACGTTAGCCCTTTCGGCCTCCCCGCACACGACTTGAATGGTCTAGAAGTTACGTCACAGATCATGTCCCCCAACTTTATCTGAGTGAGTGAACCTGGTAATTTTATAGATCTTGATTTTTCCGTTACCCCCAATTCGCACATAAGTCAGATTTCTGATAGTATCTAGTTGGGACAGACCTGTGAACTCCTCCGAAATCAGCCAAATCGATACCATTCTTGAAGTCGAAATTAGAGCTCAAAGCCTATAGAGCTCAAAGTCCCAGGTTCGAATCCGGCTGGTGACTAGTAATTTTTCATCAACCATGAGGAGACCCTGGTCAGATGGGTAATTAAGATTAGAGCTGATGTTTTTAACTTAAATTATAAACACTTCAACCAAACAAATAATAATTGTAGCATGTGTAATAAAAACGAAACAGGTCTCTATCACTTCCTGGCTGCTTGTCCGATACTCTCTGAATTTAGAATTAAATGGTTAAAATCTAGAAATTTATATCGGGATCAAGTAATAGATTTAATAAATGGAAACAATTGAATAGCAATGATAAATTACTGTAAGTCTGCTTTCTCCTATAGAATAATGCTCACCACTCTTTTTGTAATTAGAATATTTATACAACTTTTACATTGTAAATATAATTGTTCTTATTTTGTTATTAACTAGTTGTATATAAATGGATTGAAATATAATTTTGTTATAAAACACAGACTCCTCTGTGACGGGCAACAGACCATGTAGCACGTCTGATTTTCGGTTTTAAATCCAAAAATATTATTTTGTAATTTATATTATGTAATTTTTATAAATAAAAAGACTTTTTCTTCTTCTTCTTCTTCTTCTTCATGGTTTGTAGTGGTACAAGTTTTTTTTTTTTTTTTTTCTATTCAAAGCCAATACGATCCTAATACTAAAGTTCAGCCACAGAACCTCGATATAGTTTATGTTTGTAAGCTTAATCTACATTAATTTAAAAGCTTTTTTTTTTCTTATTTTACTGAAATTTACAACTGTATTACATAGAAAATGCATCAAGTAAATGTGACATTGGTAACATAACATGACATGTACAACATGAAGAGAAACTACCCATTGGTAGAAATCAAATTAAAGTTCTATATTAGAAGATCCCGAGGCCATCTTCTTTTCAGACGCCTCGGAGGATTATCAGGGATCGAGGAGGAAGCAAGGTTTGAAACGAGAGGATTCGGATGGTTCTGCAGTTTGTTATGGAAGGATAGGTATCTGGATTGGGCCAAATCGGAAACATATGGAACATTAAGGTTTTTATGGATGATTTTATTTTTGACAAAGTAAGGAACGTTGAGGATTTTACGAAGGATTTTGGATTGTAAGGATTGGATACGAGAGAAATTCGATGGTTTAGTGGAGCCCCAAAGCTCAATCCCGTAAGTTCAAATAGGTCTTATTATTGTCATATATATGAGTCGTTTGTAATTGATTGAAAGCTTAGAGCGTTTGTCTAGTAAGTGCTGCAGCAGTCGAAAACGTCGGGCGGTTTCTAGTCGTTTCAGTCTGGTATGGTGGTAATTCCAAAGCTAAGTTGATTTTTTCTGACACTAATAGTACCATTATATCTAGTAAACTGTTTTTGTTTTTTTTTATTACTTGATATTAATTCGAAAAGAATTTTATTGAGTTATTGACTATTCTACTCTTTCGATCTCATTCCTCCATGAGAACTAGAGACGACGAGCTGACTGTTGATTATCTTTTTATCTGCATTCTACTTTTCTCCTGTTCGTAGCATTCATTACCATAGATGTTCGAGAGCTTTTCTTTTCCCCGCTTTTCTTTTTTACAACTTTCTTCTTTATCTCGCTGGAACTTTTGGATTTTTTAGCTTTTGTTGCCGATGGTTTTTTGGTCTTCCCGAAAACTTTAGACATCAAGAATGAGCCGGAAGCTCCGCGACCTTTCGTTTGAATGATCTCGCCCGAAGTGACCGCTGACTTTAGGGACTTCTTGATGAAATGAGAAAGCTTGTTGACGTCCACCTTGTAATTGGAGCTGATGAACTTCTTTATCGCGTACAAGGAGGAGCCTTTTCTTTCTCGAAGAGTTGAAATAGCATTGATAACCATGTCTTTCATTGGAGGATGTGTCGAAGTTTTGGTCTTAGTTTTTGAATCCTTCATATTGGTCGTTTTTCTTACGGTCTGAACTAAGACCTGTAAAATAAAATGATAAAATCATAAATATACTGCATCTTTAAAATGATTTAAACATGTAATGTTCTTAGATTGGCTATGATAACTTTTATCAGTAATAATAAATAATTTTATCACACAGTCCTACTTTATTTTATTTTATACACCAACGTTTCAGCTCCTTAGGCAATTTTTAAGGGAAGAAACCCTTTAGAAAATAAAATAATCATCAGAGCCTAATTATATTTGCTCAATAATCATTTTCATTTTATACTTTATGTTACCTACCTATTTTAAACAATTAAAATTATTATGGACTGAATTGCCATCATCAAACATAGCTTAATTACTTAGCTAAAACTACTAACATAGCTAAAACTTTCCTGATCGCTCATTTTGCTGTACAACTCTTCCTTCACAACTCGGTCCATTGTATAACCAGACAGTCACAATCAAAGTGGGAGTAAACAAGAGAGGAAGAGAGAGGTGGTGTGTTTTAAGTGGGAGGAGCGATGATTTAATTGTTTGATGATTGGTATGGCTCGGTTGAAAATTCATTAAAGTAAGGAATGGAATAGTGCCGCTGTTCTAGATAAGGTAAGAATGTCTACTTTTAAATTTAAGAAGGAAAAGAGGATCCAATATGTAGTATGGTAGCTTATGTCTGTAAGACACATGGAGAAATTGGAAAATCGCCGAATTAAGTAAGGAATAAAATAATGTGAATGTACCCATATTCGAATATGCGATACCATTCGTTGGGCATTACCGGCTCTATTTGGAAACTACTTGACTTGTAATGCAATATGTCTGCTTGCTATTGGAAACTAAGGAAACAGCTGGGAATAGAGAATGCTGCAAGTTTATGCTAAAGCTGACTATCACAACATCACAACAAAAAAAATCATTCTCCTAGCTCATTAGGAAGTTCTTAGCTCTTAAAAATTTAACAGAATGTCCCTGTGACGTTACATTTTATTATTTGTTTATTATTATTACACTTGTATTATGTTTGTTACAATCTTGTCTAAGGATTACTTCGAAAACCAAAAACTTTTCTGTATGGCATAGCAAATAATGACTCCACAACAAATGAAAAAAAAAATGCATCCTAAAACCTAAAGAGATAAACTCCGAATGATAAATTTCAGCAAATTTATAAATTATAAACCTAAAGAAAATATTTTTTAAAGGATAATAAACCATATGGATATTCATCACCTGTATAATGAATATTAATTGTCATGTAATTTTATGGGCCACGATTCCTGATTCTAAAAATTTTATCAGCTATAACCTTCCCCTTATCTGATATGCTTAAGTGATATAGTGTTAAATTGACGTGCGTAAACTTCTCTTCAATAGGACGCTTTTAGATCAAACAGTTAACATCGAGCGTTTTTAACTTGGATTTTATTTTATTTTAATTAAGCCTCAAACTGAGAATGGTTAAATCTACTACGATTTTAGTGAAAATTCATAAGCATTTACGATAAAATATATCATCAACTAATTAGTAAAATTAAATATTGAAATATTTGTCTAGAATTACCATGCTCTCTTAAATAATATAAATATTATTACAAACGCTGAATGAGACTTACCTACTTATCCGATCAAGTCTTTCCAAAACCCAAAGAAACGGAATAGAATATGTCGCGTTATTATTTTATCCCAACAACGTTTAACTTAAAATAAAATAAAAAAAAACAACTTTACATATGTTAAAGTAATAAATAAACATTTTATCAGCATATGCTTGAATTAAATATTTTTCATTAATTATTTATTGTATTGAAATAATATCCCACTTCTTTCGTAATTCTGGTATGATCCAAAGGGCTTTATTTCGAATAAAATTATTTCGTTGTTAAAATAATTCCTATAATTTTTTTTCTAAGTCTCTAAATATTACTTAACTTCAAAGCTTTTGATATTAATTTATCTATTTTTTTAAATCATATTAATCGAGATAGCTTTTTTTTAATTTTTTATTTTATTTATTTATTTTTAGTTCAATTCAGATATTTTCTTGTAATTAGTTTTTGAAATCTATTTTCTTTCAGCTACAGATTTATAAATACATATGATAATATTACAGATTGATGTCATCTTAAAATTGATTAGGAAAATCAACATTCCAAATCTTTGTCCAATGTACTCAACAATTCACAGTAACGCAAATAGGATTTCACAAAGGACAATATATTTCGTAGGGATGCCCAAAAGTAGTCTAAGTTATTGAATGCAACTATATAAGTGGTTTTCAGTAGATTTCATGCAGATATATTTTTTAAAATAATTTTTGTTTTTGTTTAATTGTACTACGCGTCAGATAAATTAGAAACGAAAATCTCAATTCATTGCTCGGATCTGATTCATTGCTAAAAAAACTTTCGAATCGATATAAAATACAGTAACGTTCATCATTATGGTATTTTTTTAGATTTTCGTATTTTTCGCTAAAAAATCATGAAAAACAGACTCCTTGGATGTGATGATTTTTTTTTTAGATCATATCACAAATCACAAACATTTTTTTTTTTATTTATTTATTTAGAAACATAATAATCTGCCAAGTGGACAATAATTATAGTGATAAATGAACACATTCACACCATATATACAGAAAATGTCCTGAGTGGAGAATCTGGCCATTGCCAGAACTCCAAGATATATAATACAAAAGATCTCTGGGCCACTGCTGCTTCAACCTTTGTGGAGGATTGTAGGGATGAGTGGAACTACATAGGGATTGTGCTAGGGGATTTGGATGATTTATAAGGTTCTGATGGAATTTGGAAAAATTTTCAGGGATAAGGTCAAAGACAAATGGGATATTAAGGCCATGATGTAGGGTTTAGTTGGTTGCATAGAACGGAGCATCGACTATTGTTCGGAGGACTTTGGACTGAAAGGATTGGATGCGTTTGATGTTAGAAAATTTTGCTGTCCCCCAAAGTTCGAGTCCTTAGGTCCAAATAGGTTTCAGGATTGTCTTGTAGATCAATAATTTGTGGTCAATTGAAAGTTTTCTAGTCAGTAATTTGTATCGTCGGTTAAGTTCGTGTCTTTTAAGTCTAGTATATGGGTTCCACGTTAGTCCTCGGTCTAAGAGAAATTCAAGATACCGGACTGTGTCTGAAAAAGGAAGCTGGGTGGAATTAAATTGGACTGGTGGAAAGGACACAAACAATTAAAGAAAAAAAAATAACTTTTTTAAAAAACACCCTTCACAAAAACTTTGGAATGCTATTTAATATTTACATAATTTTTAATTCTTATTTTAACTATTACTGAAGAGAGTAAAAAATTATAAATAAAATTCAGTAAACTCGTTTGTATCAATGAACGTTTTCTATATGCTAAGAATTATTTATTTTCAAACAATCTAAAACATTTTTTTTTAATTTATTAAAAATAAAATTTGTCAATTATATCCTTTGTGCCTACATTTTACCAGAGAATTTAATATAGCTTATTCCATAATATTTGTTGAAGGGAAAAAATAAATGTCTAGGGGACTAAGAAAAACAAATTGGTTAATATCTTACAGCGATACAAGGTTCATCGATTTCAATAATTGATCAGCTACTCAGTTATCCTCAAAAGGATGAATGAATCCCTCTAGAATTAATTCTCAAGATTCCAAAGAGAGAATCGAACCGAGCCCTACAAACCGATATTTAGCACATGAAGGGAAGGAGCCGGATTACATTTGAAAACCCAGTTAATATTTTCATATCAATAGCATAGCTATGCTAAATGAAAGTTCACCGATATCACATTCCAAAGCTTTTCTCTGTATACGCGTTCGCCAACCAACATTTCAAAGCTCTTTTATGCTATGGGAATTCTCGTAACACAATGAACCTTTGCCTTGCTTACATTTCCATATTAATAAATCGTCTCCTCATTTATGAAATGAATCAAACGAAGAATGTATTTACCCGTGTTACCATCTACGTATCTTTTTTGTATACGGTGTTACTTAAAATATAATTTTTAACATAATTAATATCGATGACATACCTATTTACCATGAATAGTTTCGTAAACTGTTATATATTCAAGGAGATACATTTTTTTATTTAATTTTTTTTTTATTTCTTAATGACATTTACAACTGTATTAAAGAAATACATTTAGTAAATTTGAATATATGGATATAATGACGTGAAAACACTTGTTGAGAAACTACCCAATGGTAGCACTCTAATGATATCTCTACATTAGGAGATCACGGGGCCATCTTCTTTTCAGACGCCTCGGAGGGTTTTCAGGAATTGAAGAGGAAGCAAGGTTAGAAACGAGAGGGTTGGGATGATTTTGAATTTTATTATGAAAGGATAGGTATCTGAATTGGGCCAGATCTGAAACATTAGAAACATTAAGGTTATTATGGATGATTTTATTAGTGACAAAGTAGGGAGCATTGAGGATTTTACGAAGGATTTTGGATTGTAATGATTGGATGCGTGAAGAATTCGATGGTTTAATGGAGTCCCGTAGCTCAACTCGTAAGTCCAAATAGGTTATTATAGTCATGTATATGAGTATTTAGTAATTAATTGGAAGTTTAGAGCGTTTGTCTAGTAAGTACTGAAGTAATCGGAAACGTCGAGCGGTTTCAGTCTGGTATGAGGATTCCAAGCTAGACATTTGTCCAAGTGGAGTCCTAGGAAGCGGATATGTTAGTATTGTTAATACTAACAGGGATAAGTGGAGTATTGTTAAAGGGAACAGAAGAACAGGAAGTCGTAGGTTTACGACAAAGGGTAAAGGTAATTAATTGATTTTAGTTCTCCAGTTTTGACACCATTCCTCAAGATTTATGATGTGTGATTGAAACATTTGGGATGCAATTTATGGGATAAAACTTTAAAGTTGCAATATCTTTTTTAAATACTAAAAGCTAGTTATCATAGGAATTTCTCAAAAAAAAAAAATTTATATAGATCATTTTCAGATCCACATACCTTAAGTGCAATAGTCTCTCAAGATCAATTTTGGTTAACCCAAGTTATAATAACACAGAGGGTTATTATTTGACTAGTGAGGATTTGTTTTTTTAAAGCATTTCCAGGCACCGAACTAATTGGTAAATAAATCATTTTTTTCTGTTTAAGTATAAACAAAATATAAATTAAATGAGATAACGAGAACAAAAAAATTCGCTATATTTCTTAAACTTGAGCAATTTCTTAAAATTGTTTAAAAACAATTTCTCCCCTCATAAATCTATTAACAACTTCATTATTACAAACCAGATCCCTTAAGTGATGTATTCTATTGGCCATTGTGGTTCCAACTCATGCAATTTCTGAAGTCATTAGCTGTTATTATAGCTTTTGTTTAACGACTTGATCAATTCTCATAACCGTAAATCGTTACATTATGTTCGGGGCTATGCGTTATAATGTTTTCAACTAACAGAGATTTCGTTTTCATACGGATTGGAAACCTCAGATTAGAACTCTATATTGCGTTTTTGTTTTCAAATATCCATCTATTATATAAAAATGGTTCGCCCTATGTAATAATTATTAAATCAACTACTACTAACATCCAAATAACAAAACTACAGATAACAAATACAATTTTACAATTGTTTATCGTAACTTTAGGAAGTTAAAAAATAGTTTCAGTTAAATATAACACTACAATTAAATAAAAGTTAGAAAAATTAAAAGTACAGCTGTAATTAAAATAAAAGTTAAAGATTACATGAATAAAAACTAATAATTACAGTTTTAAAATGAAAATTTAAAATTAAATGTTAGAAATTACAAGAAAAGTTGACAAAAACAATTAAAATTGAAAGTTTAAGATTAAGAGAAGGAGAGTTGACAACAAAATTAAGCATTAAAGATTAAAAGAATAAGAATTAACAGGTAAAGGTTTAAAGATAAAAAGTTAAAACTTCATATATTAAACATGGAAAATTTTTAATGAAACTTATCCCGACTTCTATATTTTAACTTCGCCTAAAAACAACCACACATACTGAATTTCAGCTGATTTTATTCATAGAGAACATCGGAATTGTCCAAATATTCTATGAGTGCAAAATTCTTTTAACTAAATTGCTAGAGTATATTTCAAACCACCAAACACTTCAACAGTCAATTTTTACATCGACAAATATTTTCACTCTTCAACCTAGAAACACCTCAATCCAGAAAAGAAAAAATATCCCAAAAATTCATTTCTGATAATACTAAATCTGGACCATTATCAATCAAAGAAACCATACAGTTACATCGAAGTTGCCAGATGCGCTATTGCGAAATTGCCATGTGTGTAAAAGAAAAAAATGTTCCTAAATATATTTAGTAAAGATAAAGATCCCTTTAGGGAAAAAATATTTGACAACTTTTTACTCATTCTCCAGAACGGTATATTATGTCCGTGTAATGTCATCATTAAAGTATATACTATTATTACGTAATATATGTATAATAGTAAAAAAATTCACTTACTTGACAAAAGCAAAATTGGCTCACTCTGTTATCATTCCAAAACTCTCTAATTTCTTAACGTTTTGTTTTAAATAACTAACAGAAATTGATTAGCAAGTAACCTTGTTGAATATAATATATCAAATAATACTACCGATATAGTTAGTGTTAAGATTTGTGGCAGTTCTCTTGAAAAAGAAAAGAAAAGTTAAGTACTTCCTTGTGGCCATGGGCCATGATGACTGGTAAAAAAAGGGGAAAGATTTACTTTTTGTCCCCAAGTGTCCTCAATGGAGTCTGGAAAAAATTAGTTTCTGACAAGAAGGCTGACTTGAGATCTATTTTATGATAAAAACTGGAATAATTTCGGAGAAGCAAGAAAATAACGGTTTATTTTTTTTTTCCTGCAAAATATAGGCTCAAGGGAGAATTTATTAAGAGCAATGGGCCATAGAATGATTTACACGGAACTCTTTAATAAACACATATTTCAATAATGGAACAATACCAAAAAACTCTTTCTATGATATATTGGAATCAACAAAATCTCAACAGACGAAAACATCTACAAACTCAATCAATGAGGAGAAAGGTCTATCTATATATTATCTCAGGCCTGGAGGCACATATATATTTTAACAGAGGTAATTAATTTTGAACCTCCAAAATAAATATTATTACGCAAAAGATAACAAAAATCAATTTACAGTTACAACGCTAAATTTTAATCGTTTTATAATGGATTTTATTATCTTATCTCGTAATTTTTTATTGAATTGATGCTTATACTTTAAAATATTCTGTTATCTGGGATAAGTTGGCTGATATGTGCCCCCTAAAAGCAAAAAAGGCTATTCTTCTCAACGTTTTTTTCTACTCTAAGAACAGTATCCATTGGTTCAAATAAATTTCATATTTTTAATTTTTACTCCGATGCAATACTTTAATAGCATATAAAGTTTTAGATATTCACACAAGAAACATAGAAAATACCTGAACTCTCTCACCTTCTAAACTTGTTTTAATACATTAATGCGGTAAAATAAACAGGTATTTTCAGGTTTTTTTTATATTTTCAAATCTCACAAATTTCGGATTTCATATTTTATCCCTCGCTTTCTAATTATTTTATTTTATTTTTTCGGTCATCGACAGTTCAGGATCTGTTAAAAAAAAATTAAATGCGAATAAACCGATAGATCTCTGAAACTGCGATTATGGCACCGTTTAACATTTTAACTGTTTTAGAAGGGAACGAAGTTTCAAAAGTGTAATCTGGGTTCACTTGACAAAAAATTATGAATATTTCAAGAGGCCTGGTGCGCCTTTGAGACGAAAGCGTGGGTTCCTTCCTTTCATCTTATATCAGATATTAAAGCAGTGATAGATGTGGAGAATAAAAATACAGAATGGAAAGCTAGAACTTTTTTGTATTCGAAAGATAATAAGAATTTTTTAATTTTTTAACGAATACTTCATATATGATCAAGTCCTTAAAATGAACCACTTATTGCTGCAGTAATCGCTTGGGTATAAATATTTTAGATTATTTATAGGACAGATATCTTTAAAGTCACTCTTCTCTTAATTATTAGTTCTTCAGTTGAACCGATAATTCCTGATAAAAACTTTTGTATTCTGTAATTAAACACCAATAAACTAAGAGATGCAATCATAACACTAAGACAATGAGCAAAAAATTAAAACACCTCTTCAAGTATATCAAGTATTTTTTATTGATTTTTTAAACTGTAAGATTGTGAAAAAAAGTAGTAAAAAACAATAATTGTTGGATAATTATTTTTTATTTAAATATTTATTTGCACCTATAAACTTTTATATTTTTACAAAATTTCTTCAATCGACCTTTGAGTATTATATTTGAATATAATTATTTAATTGTGACTCAGGTCACTTAATAATTGTTGATTAAACTACAAAATATTCATTAATTCTGCTGTTTATTTTAGTTTAGATCCCAATTTTTTTTTTTTTTTTTTTATTGTTAACAATGGGATCCTCTTCAATATTTCAGCAAAGATACTAAGCAACTGGTACAGTAGCTTAATATCTGTTCTAGGGGACGATGCTGAGACTGTCGGTGTTTCTCTGGCTTGAGGTATCGAGGCTCTATTTTAAAATATTAAAGAGGATCCCATTGTTAACTAAATATAAAAACCAAAAAAAAAAAAACGGGATCAAAACGTCGAATAAAAGAGCAGGACCAAGGAATATTTTGTAGTTAATTGAACAATTATTAAGAGACTTAATTCCCAATCAAATAATTATTCAACGTAACATGTTTAGGGTGGTTTGATGCAAAATTAATTTTGTTTAATTTCATTCAGCTACTATTTTAATTCTGAAAAAATGTTATAATGAGTTAAATATATTTTATTATAAAACGTTGAACATCCTGGATAAGTCTAATAAATCTAGCTAATTCGTTTTTGTTTTTTTTACTCCATCTGCGTGATCAGCTGTTTTTGATTTGCATTTTTTTTCGATACTATTCATTTTTTTTCGGTAATTATTTAGATGGGAATCGCACCGGTTACGCCTGGTTTACAATCACTTCAGTCACACTTGTTCATGTAACACCGAAAAGGTTCGGATAAACCCGGCTGTCATGAATAAGTGTAATCGAAGTGATTATGAACCAATTTGGTCCTCATCTAAATAATCACACTTTTATTCTTCTTAATTGTTAAAAAAAAATTGTGATAAATTTTTAATTTTGATTGGATATGGCATGTTTATTCATCTGTTCTTTTTTTTTTTTCTCCTGATCAGCTGTTTGATTATAACCTTCCTCAGCAGTGTTACCTTACCTTCCTTTCAGTATGCGATTGGATATAGTGGAGCGATGTGATATTCGGTTTTTTTTTTTTTTTTTATTCTTTACCTGAATTTTAGTTAAATAAGCCTGTGTGGTCGGATTTTGTCCAATTATCACCTAACATTGAATTTCTCTCCTTTGGTGAGTTTTTGCTCGTTAACATTGTATATTTTAATGATATCCTATTGCCGAATAGAGTGCGTGAATGATGTGTTTCTTGCCTTTAATCAAATATATTATAAAATACGGCTATAATATTAACGCTTAATATTTTTACATATGCTATATGGTGGGGATGGCCATCGTTAGTCGATAATATCGATATATCTATCTTTTTATTTCTACATTCGATATTTTACCATCGATGGCATCTACTTCAATATTATTGACACTCGATATCGTCCCTGCGATATTTTAATGTTATAATTTAAAAGTAAAAATTAAAACTGTCGTTTTCGGAAAGCTCTAGGGATTGTATATAAAAAAAAAATATATGCTCATCTTACCTGTTCTCATCCAGAGTGTAATGCGTAGAGAGTTGAATATCACACGTAGGTTATATACTTATAACCATAGGACCTCAACTAAATTTCATTCATTTGGAACATAGATATGTTTGTTGTGACTGATTCCTGATTGTAAACTCAGTTTGTCCAAGTTTGTTAGTTAGAATTTTTATAAAACAAGGTCACGAATCTAAAACAACAAAAAAATCTAAACGGGATGCAAATAAGAAATGCTGATTTATTCTGAATTCGATCTGTGGATGAATGGAAATATATGAGAAAAATCTGATGATGATGAAGATTGACAGAAATCAGGAATTTTACTAATTGTTTGTTTGTTTGTTTCGATGTCTAGGCGCAAAACATCCAGGTCATAAGCGCCCGATCAACTAAATAACATCACTTAATACTATTTGGATGGTTGGTACAAAAAATAAAAATAAAAAAAAGGACAAAAAAAATAAAGAAATGGATTGATAGAATAAAATAAATAAATAAGGATAATAATAGACATTTATAGGTAATAAGATGTATAAAAAATGTATAAATAAATAAACTTTAAAAAATAGCGGTAGAATCAATAAAAAAAAAAAAAAAAAAAAGAGAGAGAGAGAAAATATAATAAAAATAAATAGATAAAAAGGAAATTAATAAATTAAAAAAAAAAAGTCTGTCAAATGTGTTTTTTAAGTCTTTCACTATCCATAAACTTGATGACTTACTAATTGTACATTACAATGATTTACTAATTGTAAGTAGGGTATAAAAATTTATATTACCATTAATTAATATAAAGAGGAAAATAACGTTTGTTTTGATGCGCCTATGTGCAAAGAGAATCAATATTTATATTCACATTCATATTTAAAAATAACTAGTTTTTCAAAAATGTTTATAGTACCGATGGGAATATCAAACATTTATACTAAAATAAATCAACTCCCGATAGAATCGATATTTCAAGTCGATACTATCGATAGTTATAGACCGATATTGGTGAGAGGGCTTTGTGTATGGGTGGAGGAATGCGATGGGCCCTGCACATTTCATCCTGGTAGCGGCAAGAAGACCACCTGAGGAGGCGGAAAAAGAGGAAGCACGTCGAGGAAGAACAGGACGGATGCGGAGCGGATAAGGTGCGGCTCCATCATAAAAGTGCACAACGTTGTACCGGGCCGCACTACAGTTAATCCAGTTTAATTTTCCTAAAATTAGAACTACCCAAAATTACTGTTAAAAATTAAATAATAATGATTAATAAAGTGTTGTTTATTGGCAGCAATGGGCATACGAGAACCTTAACGTATTAACCCACTGCTGCCAAAACCCCGTATGGCAGGGAAAAAAACTTCACCAGCAATGGTAGGGCAAAAAGATAATTAAAAATAAAGTGATAGACCAATATTGCTGTCTATGACAATATATACATATATTGTCCTTTCGCTATCCCATTCCTGTTCTATGTATATTTACAAAAAATAAAATAAATACTTTATTTTGATATATCTTCTTAAGCTTAAATATTATTAATTACGATGATTTAAATTATTTAGTGAATGTGACTGTGTGTCAAATGCTTTATTAAAGTCTAGCACTAATTAAGATCTCTATTTTTTTTTCAGTCTTTTTGAGACCCACCCAGACGTTCAACAGGTGTTCATGCCGTTCAGTGGCATCGAACTAGAAGACTTGAAGCACAGCAAGCAGCTGAGGGCACACGCTCTAAGGTACGTCTTGTCTAATTTAATACTATTATTATTATTATTACGTACGATAAATAATTTATTAAAACCCACACACTAAAAGCCTGTAGGTGAAATTTTAATAGAAAGCGCATTATTGAGTTTTTCTGTTCTACTTCAGTCTCAAGCTAATTCAAAGAGGTTTTTTTAAAACATTACATCTCTGTCTTAAGTATCGAGTAAATATATAATTGATATTTTATTTTCATGAAATCAGAACTATGCGGTTTATTTCATCTTGTTTAATATGGTTGTGGATACATTTATTTATCGTTGAAAGATTCATGTTAAAGCAAATACATAATTATGCTATTTATTGTCCTTATCTCAGTGTTATAGTCTGGATAAACAGATCTGGAAGATGAATACGAAATTAAAAATACAAAAATTGAAAAAACGATATCACCGTCTTTTTTCTATCTACAAAAGAAAAGAATAAATTGTATAGGATTAAATGGGGGATATTATTTATTTTATTTTTTATGCTATTTCCAACCGCACAGTAGCGCATCTAGCAAGTTTGATGTAACTGATTGGGATAACGACTTTGATTTACTTATTGTGTCAAGCAACAGATATCTGGGTCATTTCCATTTTAATATGCGTCGAGCAGGAAAGGGGAATGAATAGAGGGAAGGAAAATGAGCAAATGCATTGAGACGATTTTAGGTTGAAAAGTGAAATGTAGTGGATGTAATATTTTAGTGTTTAAATGCTCAAGTCGTTACGTATAGTCTGGTCTGAAGGTATATCATGACGCGTTAACAATTTTTCTGAAAAATTAAATTAAAAAAATTATTATGGTACTACCCTCCGAATAATAACAGATCTCAAAAGTTATGCACATTAGTCTTGGGCCTAGGGGAATACGAAACGGTGCTTAATTCACCGTTAATTGCAATTGCAGTTTTACAGTTAGTCTCCTGGACTACAGATTCTGAATTGACTCACGATACAAGAGAGTAATTCCTTGGAAGTGAGGCGTAATGGACCATGAGGCGTAACGTTGAAATTTCTCCCAATTCTTATGTCAAGGTAAGTAACAGCCTCACTTGGACGTATGCCTTCTCTTCTATTCTGAGAGTAATAGGATGGGAGCCTCATACTTCTGCAACTGCTGGATAACGCTCGGCCACCAGACGCTATCAAAGGCGAAGGATATGTCGAACAGGAGAAGCATGACATACTTCGCCGTCCACTCTTCAACGTCACGGAGCAGTCTCAGCAGGGCATCTGCGGTTCCCCTGCCTTTAGTTGATCCGTACTATCGTGGATGGCTAGCCCTAGAGAAGACTGGTCGTAGACTCATCATCAACAGGGTCTCCAATAATTTACTTATGATAGGGAGGAGACATATAGGCCTCTAAGACTTGGCTAATTGCTTTTCCTTGCCTCCTCCCTTGTAGAGGAGTCTATAAGCATTCCAATAGTAAAATCTTACATCCATGACAAATACGTTACATTTTGCTCTTCAGCTCATAATTATCTCAACACATTCGTTCATTTTCCTTCCCCCCTATGTTACCTGATCGAAGGGGTAATGCAGAAAATGGTCCAGAGATTTGTTGCTCTATTAATAACTATATCAAGGTCATTATCAAGCGAAACCTCAGTTATACGAAATTTGTAAGATGAGTTACGACGTAATTGCAAACGGCGTAAAGGAATAAAATAAATTAATGGATGATATTCCTTTCGTAATCCTATATAATTTATTCTTCTGTTTTTTTCTTTTTCTTATAGTCACTCATTATTCTATATCTTGTTTAGTATAGGCCTTACGTAGATCTACAATCAGCAAACATCAAGATAGTAGAATACCTTATTTCTATTCTTACCGCATCCCTAACCATATTCCTCCTCATTACATATACAGACAGCAATACGCCCATCATTAGTAATGTAAACGTTTCCCATATGCATCATTTGTCAAGGTCCTTCCCTGAAAGAAGTCGAGAATAACAAGTTAAAAAGGGCGGTTCGTTTGTTAGCCGAAAGAACGCTTGCTGATTCAGACAAATATAGAAGTCGCAGGAAATCCCCCTACCTCGTGAAGGGAGTTCATTATAAAACGGCTTTGTGTAGCACTCCACTTTTTTTTCCAGTTGACTGATTTAAAAAACATCGTAATGATATTTTTTTTTCAAGAGACGTTTTCTTTCCATTATAAAGGGAAAATCTTATTAAGAATTTCAATATTACATTTTTCACTTCTGAGGATATCATTGTTGATCTTTCAGTAATGATGAAAACATTTGATCATTGAGGTATATCTTAGACATACAAGAAATAATGAAATTCGTAACAATTCAGATATATTTATTATGAGCTCCTATAAATTTATCAAATAAATCAAAAACATGAATATATCAGATTATATTGTTGATTACTCCTCTTCCCCCACAAAATAAAAAATAAATTTCACTTAAGCCCATATGGATCTACGCCTTACAAATTTATGGAACAGCTAAAAGGACCCACATACGAAATCTACAAAATTCTCAGTCAAAAAACTTCAGGACTATAACAAAAGCTCCATGGATTGTTACAAATACTACTTTACATAAATACCTTCAAATCCCAACAGTTAACGATCACATACGGACGCACTACAAAAGATTTCACAATAACTTACATGGATATACTAATACACTTATAAAAAGTATGACTACATTTAACATGCCCGAAAACTAGATAAAAGGAGCTGGATGAGGGATCTCATCGCTTAGAAATTGTTTAAAATCAAGACAGGGCACTCCTCTCCTCATGCCGATCATAATTGTCACTGCTTATGACAGGTATGGGTGAAGATATAAAGTTAAAAAAAAAAAGTTAATTTTAATTTAGTTATTGCAAATACATGAAGTTTATTTTTAAACAAAAATATGCACTTCTTTAGCATAGCAGCATTTTATATTCATGGTAAAATTTCCTCAAAAAATTTAAATAATTTAAATTAAAACATAAAAATGATAATAATATGAAGTAAACTATGCCATTTATTACTTTTTGTACTAAAACTAAACAATGTGTTTTCATGAAGCAAGAATAGTAAAATATATAGTGAATTAATATGAACAAGAAATCAAATTGATTCTAAAATGTTACTAAAATTAAAAATGAGTTGTTAAGTCTAGGAAAGAATAACTTAAAATTTGAAAAAAAAATTAATGTAAACATCTATCTACAAAAAAAAAAAAAAAAAATCCTATACTGCTTCAATCCTTGAAGGTTCTTGGATTTCGTACTTTGCGAGAAAATCCAGTTTCTTAGTCAATGGTTGTGCAAAGAGGTGATTTTTTTTTCAAAATCAGGCATTTCTATTTTAATTAATTAATGAACAAAACCAATACAGAAGCTGGGTGTGCCCCAAGAGAGTCTCCTAACTCCGAGTTTGATCCACGGTTGACGTGACTGAATAAATAATACCATTACTATTTATTATTAAGCATTACTTTATTATTATTAGCATTACTTATTAAGTATAAACACCTACCCTGGACAATAAGAATAAGAGCATAGTGCCTTATTCACTGAATTACATCATTTTTTTTTATATCCGAAAAAACTAGGTTTTAACCTTTGACTATTTCAATTAAATATATTCTCCCCCACTTTAGAATGACAAGATCAACATGGTGTTATCCCCATTCCTTCCAAACGAATCCATCTTTCGTTGTAGGTGTTCATTTTTAATTTTCGTATCATTTATATTTGATAATAAAAAAATGGAAACTACACGTTTTCAAACTGGAAGTAGAATTCCAATAAAAGAATAACTATCAAGATTTTGAAGTATCTGCTAGATATGCCAGTTTATCTATGAGAGGAAGTGGATGAATTTCAAATATAGAAGATCGAATGGGCTGCATAATGTATCAACATCAACTTTAGTTGGGATATTGGTAAACAAAGAAAGTATGTTCAATAGATGATCAATCATTCTTGAATGACTAAGATTTCATATTACGGTTCAAAACTCCTCCTACTACTTAAAAATTGTTGTGAAAGCATTACTTATAGAATGAGTTGTATTATAAATAATACAAAAAAAAATTGAATATATGATTACCTGTCATAAATACTATTACTATTTATTAGGTCTGTTAAAATATATATTAAAAAAAACGTTAATTATGATACATATTATTGAGAAGAATACATACAAAGAGGTAGAAAATTTTTGTGATATCATCTTACACAGGAAGGGCTATTTATTCACCTATGACTTCCTCAAACTCAGATGGTTAAAAATTATTATTTTTTATTTTTTTTATTTATTAGTTACACATATTCCTGGCTCACAATAAATTTGCCATCTACATCGGTATTCAGAAAATATGATATCAAGGAGAATAAATGATAGCAAAAAAAAAAAAAAAGGGATAGTAATAAAAAGAGAAGAAAAACAGTAAAATAACACATAATAACACACACAAAAAAGATAATGCAGCAAGTAGCTCAATGCAATAAGTCTCTTGGCCAGCGCCTCAGCAGTCTTCTGGGCGGATTATATGGATTGTTGGCAATAGTTAGAGCTTGAGTAAGTGGATTTGAATTTAGAGTCAGTCTGTCATGAAAATTATTAAAGCGGTCTGTGGCATTTGCAGTGATGAAAGGAGTGTTAAGGTCAGTGTGTAACGTGAGGTTTGAAACATAAAAGGGTGCGTCTACAATTTTCCGAAGGACTTTTGACTGGAATGACTGAATGATTTTTATATTTGATTTCTTTGCTGTTCCCCATAGTTCGATTCCATATGTCCAAAGTTGTTTAAAGAGGACTTTGTAAATAGTTAATTTATTAGTCACAGATAATTTAGAACGTCCAGATAAAAATAGTGCGTAGGTTAACACTCGATCTGAATTCGGGCAGGTGCTATTTTCAGCGTACACGATAAAAAGATTAATCCCTAAAGAAATATCCATTTAGTTATTTTTATAGTATTTTGTAATATATTTGTCAAGATAAATTTTGTATCTCCTGG